TTTTTTTTTTTTTTTATTCTCCTTTCTGGCTAAAATTCCAAAGTAGTAATGTTTTAGATTAATATGTGGCATTTTTCATTTGATCAGAGATGATTGAAGTTTTTTGAAGAATCTATAGTTTGTATTTCCACAGCAACCACTGTATTATTTTAGGAACTATACTCACTGTGTAGTGATAGCTCCTAACCTTGAGTATAAAGAACCTTCTTATAGTCCAAAACTGAGAAAAGGGAAAAAGCATGATAAATTCCTTGGGTGATCTCATTGCTTATATCTGTTGAGTGTCTATGTGGTCAACAGAGACCTTTCTATCAATTGATCAGATGATACATTATACATTTTCTTACTTGGTTTTTTAGGAAAAGGAACTGCAGCACCAAAGAGTGTCTGTTGATTCTCAACAAACCAGTGGGTATACTGGAAATAGAATTCAGTTTTTAAAAGTATTTGCCTTCAAAGTGAAGAGCCAGTAGTAGTTTTGCTTATCACAAATCAAAAAAGCTTTTAGGATAGATCAAAGCCCTAACTAAATGAATGGTGTATTTTCTTGTTTTTCTTCTACATTGATGACTGCCTTCCACTTCTTAAATATTTGGCTTTTTTTTTTTTGACCTTTTACATTGCCCCTGCTGATTTCTTTCTTCCTGTCATATTTTCTTTTTGACCATCTTACTTTGAATACCGTCCTACCATCTTTTTATAAATATTCTTTTGTAAACGGTTTGCCCACTTAACAATTACGTTTCTTCTTTTTCTATTAAAATATATTTTGAAAGTAGAATAAGCTGCTATTTATTGTACATACAATATACCAGATATTTTATATCTCATTAATTCACATATTAATCCTGTGACATAGATATTCTTCCTTTTTTACGGATGAGAAAAGTGAGATTAACAGAGGCTAGGTAACTTGCCCAAGACTGCAAGTTAAGGAGTAGCAAAGCAAAAGATTTTTAACTCAGGTCTGTCTTGTATTCTTTCTATAAAATAAGGCCAAATTTTTGTTGTCCTTGGCTGTTGACAAACTCCTGATTTATCTAAGATAAGTTCCTTGCTTAAGTAACTTATCTAAGATAACTTAAGTAACTTATCTAAGATAAGTTCCTTGCTTAAGTAACAGAAAGATCATACTAGAGACATCTGAATTGTTTTTATTGTTCCTTTTTCATAAGTAGGAGAATGGCCTCTTAGTTACTTCTTTGTCTTTGGATAGATCTGGGCTACCGCATATGGTGGTGCAAATTGTCATTGCATGAATGGAGCCTCTTGGAATTGTGCAGTATGTCATCTGCATAGGGTTTACTATGGGCCTGATAGGACCTACTAAAGTGGTAATACTTAAAAAGAGATTAGCTTTTTTTCTTCCAGCTGCAGAGACACCTTTGCTTAGTTGTTCTCCCAAGGCTAAGCACTTTTTACCTATTTTTAGGAGAGACATCAAATTTTTGTTTGACTAGCCCCTATATTTTTTTTTAATAAACTACCTACTTGAATATATTTTAGATTGATATCTAAAATTTTTCATGAAAAATTTAAACTACCTACCTGAACATTTTTTAGGTTGATACCTAAAATTTTTCATCAAAAATTTACTTGTAGTTATGTAATTTTTAACATATTACATATGCTGTCTGACTTTTAAAACAGAGATGTTACATTAGTCTTTCAAATGTATCCTTTGGAACGATACCTACCATCAACCTTTTCCAAAAAACACAAGTAGTCCTTCTTTGGCATTTGGAAAGTTTACATTTTTCTTTTTTCTCTTTGAAGGCATATCCCCTTTCCTTAATATAATAACGTAATATATTTTTAAGGTAGAAATTCTTTTATCACTCTACTGTGCTGTTACATGACAATAATATATAAATTGAAATGTTAAAATTTATTATCTATAAGTCTCTGAATAGTATTTTTTTTCCTTTGAATTAAGGCATCAATCATTATAACTTTTTTTTTCTCTCTCTCTCTTTTTTGTTTTTATTTTTTTTTTTTGAGACAGACTTGCCCTGTCACCCAGGCTGGAGTACAGTGGCATGATCTTGGGTCCCTGCAACCTCTGCCTCCCAGGTTCGAGAGATTCTCATGTCTCAGCCTCCTGAGTAGTTGGGATTAAATGTGTGCGCCAACATGCCTAGCTAATTTTTATATTTTTAGTAGAAATGGGGTTTCACCATCTTGACCAGGCTGGTCTCAAACTCCTGGCCTCAAGTGATCCTCCTGCCTATGCCTCCCAAAGTGCTGGGATTACAGGTGTGAGCCACTGTCCCCGGCCATTCATTACAACTTTTACTGCTTGTATAAAATTGGTCAAAACAACATAAACATCATGAATTTTTGTGTTTATTTAAAGTATGTTTTATTGGAAATACATCTTTCAGTGAAATGAATGGGCTGTCTCCTCTCCCCACTATAGCTTTGTATCTGAGTAGCATATGATTCATTGTTAGAATATGATAGTGTTCAGATCAGTTTCATTCCCAGTTTTTATTTTCATACATATAATTGCAGAGAAACATTGTTCACATAAAGTAGAGTGGAATTATATTGGAAGAGTTCTACTAAAGCAGTATCGTACTTTTGCTTTATTTTGCTTTGACTCTTTTTAATCTTCTGAGTTACATGTCAGAAACTATTGTTTCTTAGATTTTATTTTCCAGGTGGTAGATAGTTGTTAACATTATTATTTCATATAGCAGTTTGTAATTTGCAAATTCCTTTAACTTTTTCTATCTTACTTTCTCATCACATGGAACAAGCATATCGTATCTTTACTTCCTTTTGTAAGAGAGGAAATTGAAGTTTAGAAAGGTTACATGTCTTACCTAAAGACCTACAGAATCAGTAAGATAGGTACCCAGGCCCAGTGCATACCTTTTGCCTTCAAATTCAGTATTTGTTTTACTCTTATCAGCAGTTACTCAAAATATTTTGAATTTCCCTCAGCCATGGCCAATATATCTTACCATACCCTTTATTTATTATTATTATTTATTTATTTAGAGACAGGGTCTTGCTCTGTTGCCTGGGCCAGAGTACAGTGGCAAGATCTCAGCTCACTGCAGCCTTGACCCTTGAGCCCCTGATATTCCCTTCTCAGCCTCCTGAGTAGCTAGGGCCACAGGCACACACCACCACACCTAATTTTTTTAAAAAATTATTTGTAGAGATGAGATCTTACTGTGTTGCTTACTGTGTTGCCCAGGCTGGTCTTGAATTCCAAGGCTCAAGTGATTCTCCCGCCTTGGCCTCCCAAGTGCTGAAATTACAGGTGTGAGCCACTGTGCCTGACTACCATACCCTGTAAATGTGATTGTATCAAAAACGTCAAGCTGTGATAAAGGCCATTTATTTTATGCATGATGTCTCCATGTAACGTAATTGGCAAAAGCGCTCCTCAAAACGTCTCAAAGCATATACTACTAAGTACTAGTTGATTCACTTGTTGGTAGATACTTTTTTGTTAAAAGGATATGGAAAGTGTTAAATATTTTATAAAATATAAACATTAAGAATCGACTATATTATATCTTAAAAATGTTGTAAAATATTTTCTTATACATCTCACATTGACTCTGAAAGAAATCACAGAATTTTTTATCTGTGAGTTTTAGTGAGTATATCTTAACAACACTTGGTAGTTCTAGAAAATATTCCATTTAGTTTTAAAATAATTACGACCGGGCATGGTGGCTCATGCCTGTAATCTCAGCATTTTGAGAGGCCAAGGTAGGTGGATCGTTCAGGAGTTGGAGACCAGCCTGGACAATATCGTGAAACCCCATTTCTACTAAAAATACAAAAAAATTAGCTGGCCTGTAATCCCAGCTACTTAAGAGGCTGAGGCAGAAAAATTGCTTGCACCTGGGAAGCAGAGGTTTCAGTGAGCTGAGATCCTGCCACTGCACTCCAGCCTGGGCAACAGAGTGAAACTGTCTTATAAATAAATAAATAGCAGGACTGAGTGTGCTAGTCAGGTCGGTGAGAGGTTCTTTTTTTTCTCACTAATCATGTGCCCTAAAAAGAATAGCTGAAAATAATTTAAATATATACAGAAATATGTTGTTAAAGTTAGTGATATAGCTTTATTTCACATTTGGTGTATGTCATGCACCATTCTAAGCATGTGAAATATATTAACTCATTTAATCCTTACCACAACCATTTGAAGTGTTACCCCATTTTATAGATAATATAAATGAAGAACAGAGGTTAGTAACTTGTCCAAGGACGTACTAGTAGTAAGTAATAGAACCTGAAGTTGAACCCAGAGTCCCCATCTTTATCCATAATGTCATGCTGCTTCTCTGTTCGGTATTTCTTACTGTGTACTGTATAATGAGAGACTTGTATACATTAGAGCAGCGTATCATGGTAAGAATGAGGATAAGCTAAGGCCATGTGTTCCCTTTGTAAAGTAAAAGAAAGGTTGTCATTAACACAGGCACTTTGTTAGGTGGATAAGTTTGAGGAAAGAGAGCACTTATGGGAATTTATATCTGAAAACTGATTCCCTTAAAATCATTCTTTTGTGGGGACCCTGGAAAAGTCTTTAGTATTTACTTTCTAGTTTAGGAAAGCGAGCAGTTACTCAAAAGTCTGAACTCCTGAATTAAAAAAAAGCTAATCTCTACAGGAGATTTGTTCTCTTAAGATTAGTTTGATTTATTCCTAGTATAGCTGTATCTAGGGAACACTGAAGAATATTAAGCAGCCCCAAGGATATGGTCCCCTGGAAAGTTTTGCCTGAAGGTACTTTAATGGCAGGTAATTTAAACTAAATGTTCTTTCTAAGATATGGAGCCCTTTGAATAACAGTGCTACCTCATGTTAGATTCTATAAAGTGTTTCATGTTTCTTGTTTTAGTAGATTTATACCTTGGAAGCCCTGGTTAAGGTAGAATAAATTATGATGTAACATTTGTGGTGGTGATGGTGGTGGTAGAGGTAGCTACTCCATGTACATACATTTCTACAATGGGTTTCAGGCTGAGCTCTGGGAAAGGATGTCATATTTTACCACCTTGTGTAGTTGATCTATGTATCTCATACCTACATTCTGGCACTTAAAAAGAATCTGAATTAGAGGCACTTCAGGAAGCTCATATAGTCATTCACTTATGCTAGAATAGATGACTTGGCTATCAACCCCTTTCTGACTATAGCTCCCTGTTTGTCAGTCTGTATGTGCTGTACCCAATCTAGAGCAGGGCACCATTTACTTTTTACAGAAATGGGGTCTCACTATGTTGCCCAGGCTGGTCTTGAACTCCAGACTTCAAGTGATATTCCTGCCTGAGTCTCCCAAAGTGCTGGGTTTATAGACATGAGCTATTGTGCTTGGATCAAATTTTCATTTTAATTGGGCTTTTGTCAGAGGAACATGCCACTCTGAATTTGTTTTTTCAAGATATTAAGTTGGTTTCTTGTATTACCTGAACCTATTTTACATTGATTTTTATTTTCTCACATGAATTTGTGATACTATTTTACTGATATCAAAAGATGTTTCAGCAAAGCTAGCAGATTTTTCCATGACATTTTAGTCATAGTTTAAAGATCAAAGCTTCATTCATCTACAGTTTAACCTTTGCTTCTAAACTCTTAATTTTTTTCTTTAATAGCTTTTTTCTCACTCTAGAAATCAGTTGTTTATCCATGCTAATCAAGTATGTTAGTCACCTGAAAAAAAATAAAGAGACCATTAAAGCACTACCATGTGATTTTGGTGAGTCAGGGCTTCATTGTACCCCCCATTATTAGGAAGTGTTCTTGAAAATCCCCACTATGTTTCTGAGCTTTCTTTTTTCTTTTTTTCAAAGTAGAGCTATGAGATTTTCCATACAAGGATGTTTATTCTTATTTATGACGTGTTTTCATTTTTAAGATTATTTTTATTTTCTCTCTTAAAAATTGTATAGATGTTAAATTTTAAAGTCCTGATTCTGCCAGATCAAATAATAGAAATACCCAATTACTTTTTTTTAAAGAGAAGTGTATACAGTCACCAATACCAGTCCATTGTGCCCTTTTCTGCAGAATCTGCCTTCTGTTGGTATATTTCACACAGGACCAGTCTTATTCACTTGCCTCAGACTCACATGTAGGCAACAAGATGATACCGACATGGCTGGCTGTCTCAAAAAATTAAGATTTTTGTAATTGTCACACTTGTAGGGTCACAGTAAGTCCTGCAACCCCCTTGCCCCCCCCACCCCACTCCCAGAGTATCCACTGTTAGCGGAGAGCTATACTGAATACAGTTTTTTTCTTTGACATTCTTTTTCCGTTATGGGAACTGAGTTGCCGTCAAGGTGACATTAGCAGAAGGAAGGTACTAAGTACGTGTTTTGTATGCTGTACAAAATAAGTTCACTATAAATGATCAACTGCCCACCAAAAATGCAGAATCCCAAAGGAAATATATAAGGGCCCTAAGGTCAAAGAAGATAAATGTATATAGAGCTCAGTAAACCTTTCAGAGAATATTATTTCAGCTTCCTAAATACTAACAATGTAATGTACAATACATGATATATACCTTTTCACACGTAAGCCAGTTCATATTAAAGCTGCTTTTACTAAACTGCTTTGCAGAGATTTTCTAATGGTTCTAGTTTTGATAATAAATTTGCTAATATTAATATGCATGTTGGGATGTTCTTTGGAATGTCAGAGTTCTTTCTCACTTTTAATGCAATGTCAAAATTTTGTTTCTCATCTTTCCTGTTGGTTTGACTCTTATGTTTGTGCTTTCCACTTTACAGGCATGCAGTATGGTGAATATGTTAATAACCAAGCTAGCTCCGCACCAACTCCCTTGTCATCAACTTCCGATGATGAGGAAGAGGAGGAGGAGGATGAGGAAGCAGGTCTGCTTTAGCTTTACACCAGTTCTTGATCTTTTCCTGCTCAAACTTTCTTTTTATTTCCACAGTCTTAGCCTTTTAAAAAAGAGTCTTTGAAGATTTAGCATGATGAACTTATGAGGTTTGCATCATAGAAGGTTGTGTCACATAAAATGAGGTGTTTGTTTGCTTTGTTTTTTCTTCTTTAGACATCTTTGCCATATTGTAAATAATAGAATCAGAATACCTCTTTCATGATAGTAGAGTGCATTCTTCCTTCAGAAATGCATTTCCTCCCATGTCACATGCAATAGAATGAGTCCTGACTGACGCTTTTGGCTGATGATTGCTCTAGCATCATTTTAGGAATAATGCTTCATTTTCTGCTTTGCATGCTACTTTAGTCTAATCAAAATAAGCCATGTGGATTTTATAATAGGGACAGAGAAATAGGACAGTGTTTCAGTGATGTCCTTTTGGCTCTTCTTGTCATGTATTCAGAAGGCCCAGAATTTGTAGTTATTTTCCTGCTTCATGAAGTAGTAGTACATATCTTGCTAGTTGAAGAAGTTGTGTGTATGGTTATGTGTTGCCAACTGTTTAATATCTTTTTCTGCCTTTGATAGGTAGAATACTGCTAAAAATTAAGCAGTTCAGTTCCTCCATTAATTCTAATACAGGTTGAATATCCCTTATCTGAAAGGCTTGGGGTGAGAAGTGTTTCAAATTTGAGATTTTTTCAGATTTCAGAATATTTGCATATACATAGTGAGATAGCTTGAGGATAGGACTCAAGTCTAAATATGAAATTCATTTATGTTTCACATACACTTATACACATAAACTCAAAGTGATTTTGTACTATATATGTTTTTTGTTTTGTGTTTTATTTTTGAGACAGGGTCTCACTCTGTCACCCAGCCTGGAGTGCAGTGGCACAATCATGGCTCACTGCAACCTCAGCCTCCCGGGCTCACACCATCCTCCTGTCTCAACTCACATGTAGCTGGGACTACAGGCCACCATGCACAGCTAATTTTTCTATTTTTTTTTTTTAGAGATGGGGTTTCACCATGTTGCCCAAGCTGGTCTCGAACTCCTGCTGCACTCAGGCTGTCTGCCCACCTCAACCTCCCAAAGTGCTGGGATTACAGGCATGAGCTACCTCGTCAGGCTTGTACAATATTTTTAATAATTTTGTACATCAAACAGTTTTTCCCATGACTTGTCATGTAAGGTGTGGAATTTTCCACTTGTGGCATTATGTCAGCCCTCATAAAATTTTGGATTTTGGAGCATTTAAGATTTTGGATTTTCAGATTAGGGATGCTCAACCTATAGTTTAAGATTGGACCAATAAGTGATGATCTTTCAAGTTAATCTATGTGACCATGATTCTCCTGTTCTAAATGGGAAGATATGTTCTACAGTCATTTTAACCACAAATTTCTATTTCCTGTACATTTAAAAATATTCAAATCATTATATGTGACTTTAGGGGATAAAATTAGGGGTGCCAGGTGGGAAATAATTTTTCTTACTCTAAATATGTAAATCCCCATCTATGTTTCTGAAATTTTTTTTTTGTAATTTTATATTTTAACAAAATTTCAAACTCACAGAAGCGTAAAAGAAACTCTCATGTACTTTTTACCCAGATAAACCATTTTTTCCACACTTGCTTTATAATTCTCTTTATCAATATATTTTTTTATACCATTTGCAAGTAAATTGGAGACATCATGAACTTTACTTCTAATACTTTGTTGTATGTTTCCTAACCATAAGGTCAATGTCTTATATAACCAAAATACAGTTATCAAGAAATTGAATGTTGATGCAGTAATATCTTATAACACAGTTCATTGTCAAATCTCGGTTGTCTCACGTGGATCTTTTATAGCTGTTTTCATGGTCCAGGATCATCTAGACCATGCATTGAATTTTGTTGTCATGTTATTTAGAGTTCTTCACTCTGCAGCAGTTCATTAGCCTTTCTCTTTCTTTGCCTTAATATTTTCAGAGAGTACAAACCAGTTATTTTGTAAAATGTTCCCCAGTGTGGGCTTACCTGAAGTTTCCTTTTGATTAGATTCAGATCATACACTCTTCAGAGAATCACTACTAAAGCCACGTTGTGTTCTCAGTGCATCCTCTTTGAGGCACATGATGTCAAGTTTGTTCTCATATTGATGAGGTTAAGTTTTATGATTTGAATAAGGTGGTATCTGCCAGATTTCTCCACTATAGAGTTACTACTTTTCCTTGTTGAAATTAATAAGTAATTTATGGGGAGATTCTTTGAGATTATGTAAGTGTTCTGTTCTTCAAAAAAGAAAAGAGAGAGAGAGATCAAAAAGATTGAGCAGCTAGGTGCAGTGGCTCACGCCTATAATCTGAGCACTTTGGGAGGCCGAGGAGGGTAGATCACCTGAGGTCAGGGATTTGAGAAACAGCCTGGCCAACACGGTGAAACTCTATCTCTACTAAAACTACAAAAATTAGCTAGGCGTGGTGGCACACGCCTGTAGTCCCAGCTACTTTTGAGGCTGAGGCAGGAGAACCTGGGAGGCTGAGGCTGCAGTGAGCTGAGATTGTGCCACTGCCCTCTAGCCTGGGTGACAGAGCAAGACTCCGTCTCAAAGGAAAAAAAAAAGATTAAGCATTTATAGCTTTTTTCTAATGTCTTATTTGTTTATTGTTTTTCTTGAGTATATTATAGATTAAAAATTCGTAAATTCTTAAGGCATTTGGATTTTTTTTTTTTTTTTTTTTTTTGGAGTCTTGCTCTGTCGCCCAGGCTGGAGTGCAGTGGCACAATCTTGGCTCACTGCGGCCTCCACATCCTGGGTTCAAGCAATTCTGTTGTCTCAGTCTCCCGAGTAGCTAGGACTGCAGGCACATGCCGCCATGCCCAGCTAATTTTTTTATTTTTAGTAGAGACGATGTTTCACCATGTTGGCCAGAATGATCTTGATCTCCTGACCTCGTGATCCACCCGCCTCAGCCTTCCAAAGTACTGGGATTATAGATGTGAGCCCTTAAGGCAGTTGGATTTTAATAATACCTAACATTTTTAGCACTTACTGAACACTGGTAATAGCAGTTTGGAGCTAGTATGTCTCCCTTGGTTTTTGTGTCAGTTTTTCTATATTCACATCCCGACTTTGTCACCTTCTAGCTTTGTGATAATTATAGTAACAATTTCATATACTGTAGTTGTTTTAAGGATTGAAGATACTGTTTGGAAAATGCTTAGAAAAGTATGTGGCAAATGTTAAACATTCAGAAAGATTAGCTGTCTTTACCAGCATTGAGGTTGTGTTCTTGTCTGTTCTTCTCAACAATTCTGCAAGGCAGAAATAATCAGCTCTGTTTTATAGATGAATTAACTGCAGCCTGAACATGTTAAGTAGCATTTGTCTGTGATCACAACTGGTCAGTAGGCAGAATAGGGATTCAAATGGAGGTCCCTCTGCAGAAGAGTATGAAAAGGAAGGTGTCTTCCTATCTAGTGAGAGACTGTAAACCACTGGAGTAGGTGGAAAGGGCACATGACAGTAGTCACTACAGTGTTAAACGTACATGTTATCTTACTCCTGTCTTTTTTCTGTTCCACAAAGTAAGACTATATTATTGACATTTTTACTAGAATCTTGGTGTTCTCTATTCATGGTTTTTTAAAATGGTGTTTTTGTTGGTTGCAAATTAAAGAAATATTCTCAGTGCTGGGAGAAAGGGAAGAAAGTCTAGCTTTAGAAGGAATTTTAATTTTATTTTTTTAAACCCTACCCAGTTACAATAATTTTTTCATATGTACAGAGGTAAAAGAAAGTGACTGAAATTGGTATGGGGATTACATGTTAAGTGTCTTAAAGTATTAATTTGGAGTGCTCTACTTCTTAAGCATTTCAAGTGGTATTTATTCCCTTTACTTGTGAGATTTTTGTGTGTTTATTTATGTAGGATTGTTCTCCAACTTTGAAAAAAATGTATTGAACAGTGATGAAAAATCAACCAGCAGGTTTGAGAATCAGAATTTATTGGGTTCCAGTGTTAAGTGTTGAGAAAAGTTTGGTCGAAAGCTGAGAAAAAAACAATTGGAAAAACCTACCGGGCGGTATTTGTCTTGTTTTGTTTTTTCCCCCCTGTAGCACTGTTTGGAGACAGAGGAAAGAGAACACGAAGTACATTTCCTGAGCCTCTTGCTAATATCTGTTATACATGTGATATCTGTTAAGTTGTAATAGTAGCCCTGTGTAGTAGGTGTTATTATGAAATGTGTTGTTACTAATGAGGAGCAACTCAGAGATGTCAGGTGTTCATTTTCCCTCAACTGGTAGGTAGTGGACATGGATTTCAGTTACAGCCTTTTCATGTTTTGTGCAAGTTTTGAGGAAATCTCAAATTATCCAGTTAATTTCAAGTTTAGCAATACTAGTAAGTATATTGCTTTTGTTGACCTATATTGCTTGTCTTTTAGAGAGAGAGAACAGCTTAAGTTTTAAAAAGGCTTAATTGCTTTGTGATATTCCTAGCTTCAAGGATTCTGAGCTATTCTGATCTGTTCTCCTTCCTTCCTCAAATTTCAGCTCCCCCTTTTTCTCTTTCCCATTTTCTTCTTTCAAGCTGTAACATAAAGCTTGAGAAGAATGAGGGAAGATTCTTTTCAAGTGCTACATTTCATACTTGACCCCCATTTGATCTCAGAATACTTATTATCACTAATTGTAATGTGAAGCGACTGAGGCAAATTGATGCTATCCAAGGATTAAGCATTGGACAAGTACGAAAGCTATTAATTCAGTGGGAACCAGCTTGTACGCTAAAAGCGGTATTTTGCTTGGTATCAGGATTCCAAAGATCAATACAGTAGCATAGCTCTGGCTATCACATACTTATAATATGATAGGAAACAGATACCATATGATGACAGTACAACTTGAAAAGTATAAGCGGGCGCAGTGGCGAGTGTCTGTAATCCAAGCACTTTGGGATGTCAGGTGGATCACCTGAGGTCAGGA